ACTGTGAAAAACTTGGCTTGTATTTTACTATTTTAGATGCGGGTTTTTGCATTTTTGATTGCGTTTTAATAGGGTACGTCAACAGAATGTACAGTAAGAAGGGATTTTTCGATATTCCCCCCGCAAGGGAGAGGGACAGGATTAAGGCTTACTGTGAAAAACTTGGCTTCTATTTTACTATTTTAGATGCGGGTTTTTGCATTTTTGATTGCGTTTTAATAGGGTACGTCAAGAGAATGTACACTAAGAAGAAATTTTTCGAAAAATTTTCTCCTAGGGAGAAGTGTTATACATTTATAATAGATACATTTTGAGCCACAACAAGGCGTGGCGGGGTCTGCTAGTATTGCTAATAAACTGGATATCGAAGTATACGCTATATTTATTTATTTAACTTTTATTGTTCTAACACGAACATTTCGAACTTTTGCTTTCCTATTCACTTTTCTCTTTAACAATTATTTTTTTCATTTTGATTTCTATGCCATCAATATAGATTCCAACAATGGAAACTAGAAGTAATTTATGGAATTTTGGTGTTATAGAGTTGGCCAGTGGGGTGATAAACTTTTTATAATGTTTTTAACTGAATAATATATACGAGAGTGGTGCTTGTAGTTGTTTAGGATGTTTTTATTGGGTTGAAATTTGAAAAAATTGTAGACATAAATTCCCGCTGTTCTCCATCTATCTGTCTTTCCTTAATCTCCAGAAGAGAATTAGACAGATGAAAGACGAGACCAGATATGGAAACCTTAAGGGCAGGAAGTTCCGATTAACTGTATACGAACATCTGATACAACCCGCAAATCATGTTATTTCAATTCAAAATTTCCCCCTGAAAGGTGTTAGGTGACTGGCACGACTTTGTTGTTAAAAGAAAAGTGTGACGTATAGGGGCAAGCCACTACTGATTTGAGATGGAGAGCATATAGTTTAAATTAAATAAAAATATGATTTAAAAAAAATTGCATCCCGGCATTATAGTGATGTCACAATAAATAATTATTGTATACATTCAACGTAAGTCATATTGAATATTAAAATGTCTTTAAAAGAAAATGAAATTTAAAAAGACAAATTTTTATAATACTCTATAATCAGTTTACAGTATTAATTACTTTATATAAAAATTTTATTCTTATAAATTGATTGTATTAATTCGTAATGAAGCGACATTATTTTGTAAGAATTAAAGGTATTTTTAATGAATTTATTGAGAAATAAATTCTTAAAAATACATTTTGCATAAGCTTCTGAGTATTTTTTTAGAAAATCATTAATCAATTTTTTAATACTAAAAAAATAAAAGCAATTATTTTTGGTGAAGGATAAAATGCGTGCATTTTTAAAGTAATGAAGACTTTAAAACAATAAGTAACTTTAATGCTTTGAAGTAATTTTTTATTTAAAAAATAAAAATTAATCGTGCAATTTTAGGTCATTAAACGTAATTTTTTGTCATTTATTAGGGAGCGTGGCTTTGCAATTTGGAAAAAGCCTCAGCAGTTCCTTTTTCTGAATTTAAATATAATCGGAAAGGTCTTAATTTATATTTAGAAATCGAGTTATGTATCAGTTTTACATACGTTTTGTATATACTCTGATTTTTGTCTGAATTCTAACCGCAGCGCTTCTAGTGAACAAAAGTTGCTCTAGGCAGAAAATTTGCTCTGTTCCCAATCCAATTTATCTAGTAAACCATGCCTATACTATAAGCACAATTGTTCACCGTCAGTATAGCGAATGATAGTGCTTATAGTAAGTTTGCAGTGGTATTTTATTTCTTTATGGTATTTATAAACTCGAAATTAAAATTTTCAAGCAACGTTACCCGAATGCCGAAAATTTATGAACCTAGAGATTATCAAGAAAAAATAATGAAATCAAATAGTTAAAGTTCAAAAGTTAATGGTCCACTAGTGGCCGAGTGAATAACACTACTGAACACAGGTATTGAATAGTTGATCGTGGGTTCTCGTCTTAACAATGGGTTGGCCGCGTGGAGTTTTCCGGATTTTCTTTACGTTAGCAACATCTAAATAGGGACCAGTTTTCCAAAAAAGCCTCCCGGGAGGCATCCTCTCTTGGCAGATCGCCTGTGTCACATTGCCGTATACCATGGGTTTCCAACCTTTTTCATGACCTTTTTAACTATTACTGTGAGATTCAAAGACGCCTTTTTAGCTGATTTGTCGAAATCGCGTAGTTCCGAAAAGTATTCATGGAATACTGATAAAGTGTGTTCAAATCTCCCCGCTTAGCGATCCGGTGTAGATCGCCTGTTTTTCGTAGCGGCAGAATCTATCAATATATGTAGTTAGGAGAATGATTTTTAATTAAAGAGACGCAACGATCAATTTGTTAGGAAAATTTTTCGCAAATAATCAATGTTTTCACGGTTTCGGTTAAGATTATCGGCGAATTTGTGGAGATGCTCGTTTGCTCAATTTTTCATGTACAGTACAGTCTAAACACATGCATGTACGGAACTGGCTAGTGTCGTCTAAAAAACGAAAGCGTCTGTGCACAGCAGTTGTAAACAGTAAGTAGCGCACAAACCTGCGAGTCCAATGCTTAGCCACTGCTCTTGAAAGCAGTAGACTGATTTTTCGAACAAGTCCGGATTCGTACGTTGTCAACAATATTCTTGTTCCAAAGATATTTTCATTTATCTTTCCCGTCTGTCACATTTCACTGCCATCGCGACAATGGCGTCGAACGTTTTCTCGAAAGAGACCACAGTTCGAAAATTTCCATGTTTTACACCAAGACCGCATCGCTCAGCTGAAAACACGAATATAATCGATTGCAACTGTGAAAGCGTTACTTGGAAGAAGATAACGAAAGAATGCAAATGAGCTGTAAAGGCATTCTGAACGTCGGGGACGTAGCTCAGATGGTAGAGCCTCGGTACCTTTCACATGCAAAGCTTTCGCTTTGCATGTGAAAGGTACCGAGATCTATAATCGGCGTCTCCATCCCAATGTAATTTTTTTCCCTCTACGCTTTCGTCACACCTGGAAACGTGGTACTCATATACTGTACATTGCTGCTACCGACTGTATATGGACGGTGTACTTGCAGCCTGCTTTCGAAACGATATGAATTTCGGATATACATTTTACTCAACCGAAAAGTTGCAAATAGGGAATTTTTTTGAGCCAGATGTATGACAGAGTGAATTTTTGTTTAAATTTCAGAGAGAATTATTTGATAACTTTAGCAAAAATCTGAAAAGTATTTCTAGAATTCGATCACATAGTTTATTCAAACCGGACGTAATGAGAACGGACGAAAGATTTTAAAAGAGAAATCAGATTTAAAGAAACGAACAAAAGTATGAACCTGGAATTGCCGAGTATCGATCGCGGTACCTCTTGCATGTTAAGTGAGTACTCTACTATCTGAGCCATATTCCCGGCGACTAACTGGCTGAAATACCATCTGTAAATAGTTCAGTCTATTAGGCGGATATAAACGAAGAAAATCACTGGTAGTAAAAGTAGACTACGCGCTCTTTGCGATCGGCTGCAAGCGTCAACGAGAAACGCTTTGCTAACCGTTGTAGCATTCTTGTGAACACTTTCATTACAGCTTATAGAGACACGTCGTATGTTTATAAAATTCGCAGGAGTCAATTTGCAAATAATAAGTACCATACAGAACAATCGCACTCCGACTGTAATGAAATGAAGCATGCATCTAGTCCTTAGCGTTGTTTAGAAGTGCGGAACGGAAAAACGAGTTACTTTTTGTGGTGCCAAAAAATTTATTCCTTCAGACGTTTGTAAAAATAACAGCGGCAAATGGAGACGCCGAGCATCGATCTCGGTACCTCTCGCGTGCGAAGCGAGCGTTCTACTGATTGAGCTACGTCCCCGTTCCCCTGGGCCACCCGAAATTTCTTTCACATTTGAATTCACTGAGGAACAAGAGTGAAAAATAACATCCAAAATGAACAAATTCTTTTAAAACAAGTATCGGCGTAATAAAATTCGGCGTCTACGGTTGAATAAAAATTACTTTTGATATTTTTGCTTCCAATTTATTGTATAATTTTAGTTAATTAAATATAGGAATAAAAAGCGGCTCGGCAAACAAACAATAGGCGAAAAAACTTTTGCGAAAAACCCGCCTTTGTAAGATTTGCAGTAATAGTCACAAGCGTTACGTACGATTGTTGCTGCTTTTGGAGGGAGCCAACTGGGTTGAGGTTCTACGTAGCGATGGATGGGCAAAGTGCGAGCGTGTTTTATCACCAGAGTTGACAATATTTCAAGCCAGACAGCTATTTGGTAACAATTTTTCTATACTACTCGTGTTATAAATTTATTCAAGGTGTGTCGAATTTCTTTTTTTAAAAACAGGACTGAAGTCAAGCCTTAGACAAACTGAATAATTATAATAGAGTCTGGATCTGAAAGGCATCTATTTGCAAAGTTTTTTTTTCTGTTTATTTGAACATAAATGATATGTGAACAAACCGAATACATAAACAACGAGCTTTCGGGCTTTTATTTATTGCCCTCTTTTGTCTCAGTTGCCTTTCTTCTAATTCCATTTTCAACAAATAACAGAAAATCTATGATTTACAGCTTATTCTGCAAATACAGTATAAAAGAAACTAATGAACGATATTTGTCCACTGTTTCATGTAACTTCCTTGTATGTTGACCAAAACTTTGTTTTCAAGGTCAAGTTAGCCCGGAGTGCAACCACCGCCGCCTCAAGGAAGCACTAATTATAATAGAGTTTAAAACTTATTGCATAATGTATGAGTCCTTTTTTTATAGTCTGCGAACGCCGCTGAAAGTGAATATCGGATCGAAGAGTACCTGAAATTTCTGGAATCCACTTATTGAAACGTTGACAATTTTTAGATAAATCGATTAACTCTTATTAAGTACGTAAGGATCTGCAAGATTTTAATATCCCCTGAGTATTAGAGTATTAATGCATTTTTAAATGCTTTTGATCAATTGATCAAAAGCAATTGATTCGTGCGCTAAAGAATCATTTAACGAGATATTTATTTAATTAATAAAAACGGTAATTACAATGAACAATATAAATTTATGTTCAACAATAAAATCTTCATTAAAAATTTTCATACAAGTATTGAAACAAGGGTAAAATTTCATGTGATTATTGAAACCTTATTAATAATACTAATTGCATTTTTCGTTGCAAAAGTTCAATTCTTTGATTGAATCATACGGGATGGCAGGATAGCCGAGCGGTTAAGGTGGCAGCCCACTGCTCTGCGGAACCTGGGATCAAATCCAGAAGGGTCAAAAAATTCCAGGTTCGTCGGATATGTCGGGCCCGTCCTTTACTAACCGGCCACCCATTGTAGGCTTGGCCAAACTAATAATGGACTTGCTACAAAGGCCCTCTAAGTCCAGAAGGCGGAGAGTTAAAAATATACATAAAAAACCGAATCGTACGTGCATATTTATAATTAATGATACAATTTTAACACCTTGAATATTCTATGATGTATTTTCGAATAGTTGCTTAATTTCCAGCATTGAATTCCTGAGAGTCTTTAGTAGTCTAAGAGAATCCTAAAAGAAAGGAATTAAAAATATGAATGTGATTTAATTCTTGTTCTGTACATATTCAGAAATACTTACCGTGCATTTACAAGAAAATTTACTAGATATGTGAAAAACAATGACGTCGTTGCCACAAATCATATAAGCAACTCCATATCCATTGTCAACTACTGGTCCAAATCCTCCTCCACCTGCTATGAAATCCGGGTGCTTGTTTATATCATAAAGACTCATTTGATGATGAGGGGTCTGCAATATAATTTTTAAGCAGCATTTGCATTTAATATTTCAACATTTTTCATACTTAGATTAATATCTCGTTAATAAATTCGAATGGGTCAATTTTAGTTTATATCATTCCGAATTCAGAAATATTGTCAAAATATATTAATAAGGACAGCCGGATGGCCGTGCTGTTAAGATGACAGACTAGCACTATGGAGGATCCGGGATCGAATGCGGACGGATCGATAAACCTCAGGAATTTTTCGGTGGTGGTTCATCCTTCACCCTTGGTGTTTTGAGATCCTTGTACTCAAAAAAGTTAAAAAAGGGAAAATTCTTGGGTTATGGGCGTCTTTTCGTTTAATATCTCAGAATATGGTAAAGATTATGAAACGAAATTTGGCATAATAATTTGTATATATGAGGCATTGATATTATTAAATTTTGGAGTACAGAACTCAAGGGAGTGGAAAGATAGAGGAGTCACTCGAGATATGTGTCATATCTCGAGTGGGGTCGGACTTAATGAAACTTTTACACGTTATTGGCATTTACAATATTTGTAAAACTCATTTCTACCCTCAAAATTAAGCCTTTTATTATATTAATAATATAAAAGTTTTTAAATAATATCTCGTAACAGATGATGCAACACACAATTTTAACTTTGAGCTAGTGCATAGTGTTTTTTAAATTTAAAAATCTTCGTTTAAAAATATTTATTATAATTCAGCAAAATTAGTCCTTATCAGATATTGCTGTTTATTTGGTATCCCAATGATAACATTCATTTGCATGCTCTGCATGTGTTTGACAATTATGCAGCAAAAAATAAAAATTAGCTTTAGGCTAATTTTAAAAAACAGTATAAATTCTTTGTAAAACTCAAGGTAAACGTGTTTTGTACCTGACTTAACTTTGAGTTGGATTATAAATGAGCATAATTTATATATTTTTATGATGCAAATCTTTTCGAGAACTATGTAAAATTTTAAAATGTAAACGAAAGAATATAATTCTCAGTACATTATCATTCATTTTCTTTATCTTGTGAGTTATTTTATTTGTGAAGTATAAAAGTTAAATAAATCAAAGAACAACCTTCAGAATATAGCAAATTTAATTTTTAAAAATACTGTAATTATGTAAATATAAAAGTTTTAATTAATGTAAACAAATTACAATTTTAATAAACCTTATAAATGCAATAGTTATCGAGAATATGACGTTCTCTAAATATCAGAAGAATCAATTTAATTGGCAAGTAAACACTAAAACATATAAAATCTAATAGTTGATTTAGATTCAGAGGTCGAGGAAGTAAAGGTATTCTTTTGTCCAAACAGATTCGATATATAGCCTAATAATAAATACAAGTCGGTAAAAATAAAAATTCGTAAAAGATGGGAGAATTACTGGAATGAAATGCAGTTTGCATGATAAGTATTATCAGCATGGGGAATTTTTTGTTGATGGGAAAAATTAGTTCAAAAAATCAGCAACGGGTGGTCTATAACAAGTCAATACGCTGGAGTATGCAAATTTGACTGGTATCAACTGTTAAGGGCCCGAGAATTTATTCACACGCTTTTATTCTGAATAGTGATATAACAATCATCCATCCGGACATGCTGCACAATGCAGTTGTGCCCGTTGTTACTCGACTAAATTGTGTTATACCCTGTGGTGAAGGCCATGTCCAACACTTTCTCTAGTAAACACATTGAAAGTTATTTTCATTGTTTGCACGTCTATTCATTGTTTTTTTGGGTATGTCAATGCCACCTGTCGTGATATTTGGAAGTAATTTTTCCCTCAACCTCGTGCTGATAATTACGATAATTCTCCTCTCTTTTATGAAATTTTAAAGTTTTTACGAACTTTTTTGCCTACCCTGTATTATATAATACCCAGGACCCGGTAATAATATAATATTATATTAAAATTATAATTGTTTAATAAAAATAATTTAAATATTAATACGTAATTTATGATTTTAGAAGATTAATGTATTATATATCTCTTAACGGTTAAATTCTTTGTTAAAATTTTTCAATATTTGTATTAGTCATTAAAATGAATGAGAATTGATTCCATCTTGATCCTCATTGATTGAAGAAAAATAAAAATCATACCTGACTGGTTGAAAGCCGCCAATTATCGTGTAAAAACTCTTGAAGAAAGGGCGAATCTACTTCTAAATATTTTGATACGACATATAAACAAAAGAGATGACGATCCACGCCTCTTCCACACATGGCCTCACGATACTGGATTTGATGAACCTCACAGGCATTTTTAAATAATTGAATTTTCATATTGTCCTACAAAATTCAAAATTAGCACACGGATGTTTTGAACTTTCTATTATTGATATTCTCACCGTGCAAGTAGGATCTTCCATTGCTCTGGCCCATGCACACGATTCCTTAGTGACAGAACGAACTGTTTCTGTTCTTCCCTCGCGAAAAAGCCGTAACATAGATGATTCGTAAGTTAAACCAAATTTCCCAGAGTCCTAGAGAAAGAGAGAAGACATTTGAAATAATTACAAAAATCTGTTTGTTCTTTATTAGGTTACTTACACGAAAATATGCCAGTTGAAGTGCCATTTGGATGTAGGCGTCGGGGCTAACTCCACACGTTTTGATGAAATTCTTACCGAAATCGTTGTGTATATACAATCTCTGATCAACATCACTGATCAGGTTGAGAGCTGATGCAGTACACGTTCTAATCAGACCCACGCACTGGAAGAAAGCCCATATTAATTTTTAACTCATAAATTTTTGGTAATAGTAAGCGTCACTCACGTCTGGCTCAAGTTCCCATTTTAATCGCGTAGGTAGTGGTGGTGGATCCGCTATATCTCCTTCAATTCTTCCTTCATCGTTATATCTAAAGTATTAACAAACTTTTAATATTGAGAATTTATTTGGGAAAAATTAAATTGAAATTCAACTCACTTCTGATAAAGAAACTCGAATGATAGACAATACTCCCACATTTGTGCTAACACAGGACCATCGGCACTATTTACGAAAGTATTGATGTTAAATTATCAATCAAATACTTTATTGTAGTAAGGATAAAACCTTGTACAGGGGGAATATTTTAATAGCAAACATAATAAATTTATTATTTATGTTAATTTTGATGTTAAATTATAAAATAATATATATAATTTCTAACGATTAAGAAGGATAATCAAAGAATTTAAGATAAAAATAATTTTAAAATGTAAACTTACTAAGAATGTTCCAGATTTAGCCCCATCTGAAATTAATGCAAACATGTAAGCAATAATCATACGTTTAACAAATATAAAATAGATATTTTTACAAACCCTTCCATTCTTTCCAACAATTAGAGTGAATGATTTGTCCATCCAAAAATTATATCCTTTACCGTGAAGTAAATTTTTTACATACACATCTCCCTTTTTGGGATCGTCCTAAAACGAATTTATTTTTTTACATTTTACTTATTAAAATAGTTTTATATCCGAAAATAGTATAGAAATTGCTTACTATATCGTACGATTCTTCATCCAAGATGACAAAGAATGCTGCCTGAAATGCATAAATTTCTCAAAATGGAAAAGGAAAAGAGGTAATAATCTCATAAATCGTTTACCTTCTCAATGATATCCAATGATATTTTATTCATTCCTCTCGAAAAGTATTCTTTCCTAGCTCTGGCCCAAGTTACTCTAAGAATAGAAGCATATTTAAAGATAGTCATAAAGCTTTTATAATACTGTATTAATCTATTTACCTATCAGTAGTAGTAAGAGCACCTACGTGCTCCTCTCCATAATTTGATTTATAGTCATCTTGTAAGATCCATTCCAACTGCCTTGAATGAAAATTCATGTTAATAAAATTTGTGTAATTTTAGTTTTTGAATGGTATCAATATAATCATATTTACCATTGGATTTCATGACTACTTAGAAGACGATTTTTATTATAAACGAGTACTTTGTAGAAGTTTCCTTTACTTCTAACCACGATATGTTGACTGTCTGAATAATGCACGATCTTATCTACAATCAAGTTAAATTGATTTATAAATTATTTAATTTAAAATGGCTAAANGATAGAAATTACTAAGTAAATAGACTAAAAATTTTTTTTATTAAAATTCATAGTTTATAATTATTAAAAAATATCTGCATGAATTCTCTTGGTATCTATCAATCGTGAATACTTCACTGACTGACACTAATCGATGTTTTCTACAGTGATGTAGTTGTATAAACTACTGTATATAGGATAGATAAATTGTGTATTGGTTACATATAAATTTCGAGGCTTTGTATAGCTTTTAAGGTATCATATAAATATCAGATACAAATAAATTGTATACAAGTATATCCTTGTAATTAGATATAAAGGTTTGAACCTTGTATTTAGTAATAATGTATCGATTTATAAATTATTTAATTAAAAATGGCTAAAAAATAAGAGTGTTGCGGCTATTAAAAATTTATAAAAGCGATATTTTATACATCATTATAATCAAGTTAAATTGATTTATAAATTATTTAATTTAAAATGGCTAAAAAATAAGAGTGTTGCGGCTATTAAAAATTTATAAAAGCGATATTTTATACATCATTATATTTACGTTACAGTTTAACTGTTAAGAATGAGTAAAGATGCAGAAAGTGGAAAGAAATTAAATGCGCCAATGTTTATTTTAAATGGAACTTGAAGCATTCTTGCAGCATCGGAAGGCAAATGGGCACACCACAGTTCATACAAAATGTTAAATTGTCAATTCACTTAAACATCTCTTCTTCATCTTTTCTAAATTTAATCTTTAATTTTATTTACATATTTGCATTCTGAATAAAGAAACAGCGTTTCTCTATATGTTCTTTATAAATTATAGTAATTATAATAAGGAAAATACCTGTTTCTATTCCTGGTACGCGAGTCGTATTGAAAACTCTTTCATACTGCCAAGAGCAAAGGGGTATTAAATTCCTGATCATTAACTGAAATAGAATTAACATATTAGGATAATTCCTAGTATTAATGTTGATAATTATCAAACAGAGAGGTGAAAATTACCGGCTTTAGGGTTTGTCTTTCGATTGCTCTTCGAAAAAGAAAAGCATTATGGATGAATGTTGCTGTTCTGGAAGACTGAGTGCAATTGGGGATATAGAAACGATCCTGTCAAGAAAGTACATGATTTTTTCCGCTATTTATGCATTACTAAATATAACACTTTAAGACTTACCACTCCATAGTAATTGCTATTGATCAGCAAAGGGTCTCTTCCTCGAAGATAAACATATTCTTCCCACCAGTCTGATATCTAAAAAATAAAGAAGCATTAACAAACATTTCGGATATAGGTAACAATTTTTGAAGAAATTACTTACGTAATTGGAAGCCCACCAGGATTTTAGCCACAGAAACCATTGTAACTTCTTGCCTACGCCTTGCTGAAAATCCAAAGCCAATTTCTCTCGATTCTCATAATCCTCGTCTTTCAGAAGTGGACGCATGGACGTCAGATACTAAAGATATATTGTAGATTGTAGATAAATAAAATATTACAAAATTTATAGAGAACAATTTTTACTCTTTTGATTGTGTCTTCCAGACTTGGAACAGGTTGACGAGGCATAGAACTCTGTAAACTGTACAGAAGAGGAGTATTATTACCTTCTAGTAACTTTACAACCATCTGGAATTAAAGATGTGTTATATTTAATGTGTTAAATATTAAATATAAGGTTAAGCAATAAACTTACTGCCCAGATTTTAGTTTTCAACGATACTTTATTTCCAACATTTGAATCATATATCCAACCTTTATAGATAAGAAGCAATTTGAGAGTCTGTCTCATTATTACAATGATACTAATCCACAAGATAAAACTGAATACTACACAAGTGGTGAGGAATGCTAAAAATGGAGTGAAACGGTCCCTACATAAAAATTATAATTATTACTTACAAGGTGATAACATTTTTTGAAAACTGATTAATTATTTTACTTACTCTGGAAGCCAAGTATTTATAGTTTTAGTAATTCCATAGGAGACATCATACGAAAGAAACTGTAGGAATGTGATGATGAATGTTAGAATTATCAAACTGATAGGTGAAGCAGGATACACTCCACTCTTCAAATTGTTCTGCATTAATGAGAAAAATAAGATAGTACTCGTGAAGCGAAATATATATTTTAAATTATAGCTAAATTTAGACGTTTATTGATCTATTTAAATTCATTTTTCAATATAGATATACTTACTATCAGTCTTGCATAGCGTTTCTTCCACGATCTCCATCCACTTTGCCATATCATCTGAAGAACTTCGCGATTATAACTGATGTTCACCCCATCGTGAGTGATAGTGAAGCTGAAGGCAACAGCTAAATGAGCCTCTGCCATGTCTGAAATACAAAAATTTTGTTGTTTTTTATAATTATAAAACTTCTTACACAGTTATTAAACTTTTATTAAAATTATTTCGATATATTTACATTTATAACTTATAACAAAATTAATAATTATTTTATGGGATAGTGCGTGTTATATGGCATATTTTAATATATCATGTAATATGAAATAAATCAATTTGAACCTATGTACTAAAGATATAAAACTTTCTGATTGTTTCTAACATTATCTTAAAACTATTAGTTCTTGATCGTTGGCATTTTTGTGCTTTCTACTAAAAATCTTTTTTTGTGAATTAATGAATTTGCCCATTAGTATTTTCCATTATAAAATAATTCGTTATAACTTTATCAACAGTCATAACGTTATAAATGTAGTGCCCCATTATAAGCTAACGCTATAAAATAAGGTTGTAACAGTAGTCAATCAGGGTAGTCGTTTGCGAATAACTAGGATTACCGTAATAGTTGAAGACAAAATATGGACAGATTAGCATTAAAAGTACTCAGACAGCGAGACAAAACAAAGAGAATTTATTCATATTTTTCAATCTAGTAAATGTAGGCACAAAATGCAATTTTAAATATAATAGCCTAATTTTACCACGTAGACAACAAGCACTATCGAATTAAAAAACTGTTGTAATGAATGTGCGCATATTCTCTAAGTAACAAAGCCGTTAATTTGTTTATATAATGTTGACACTTAGCTAACAAATATTATAATAATTATAAAAAATTTAGTATCTTTTATCAGATTTAAATCTAAGTGTTTAACTATTAACTTTGTGATAATTTGAAAAGTACGGACATTTTATTTACTTTTTCTAAGTACGGTAAGGACAAGAACAGAACCTTTAAAGTACGCACTGTCCGTACTAAATACGAACCTATAGTAACCCTATAATAACGGAACCAATAAGATGTAGCAAAAGTTGACGTCACTTTATTAAACATGACTACTAAGAAAAAGACATTTAGATTTTCTAGTGCTGAAAGACAGAATAGTTTAAGAATTGTTTAGTAAATGTTTGCGAGGATATTTCAGATCATAAAAATGAATTATGGAGGAATGTGCATTATGGATTCTGTGTTACTTCAGGATATACTAAAGTAAGAAACACAAACTACATTAAATATGGTAATTAAATTGAAAAAGGCTGTGGCATATTTGTATTTTTAAATTTATATTTTATAATTTAAGATTATCAAACGAATATGCTCGATTTAGTAATGAAATTTATGAAATACGGCTATCTGAATGCACCACAGTAGTCGAGAATGATTGAACGTAGTCAGCAATCTTGTATGTGTTTTCAAAACATAACATTATAAGCATATAATATTATATGTATTTGCGTAATAACTGGTTACAGTTATTACCCAAATGCTACTTATTATCAACGTTAAGCTATTTATAAACTTATAATATAAAACACCAATGCTCTAACTTGCTATTATCATGACAAATCCAATATTTTTGTATGCAAGCGACTTTTCATAAGAACAATTTCGCTTTATACCATTTTTACAATATTTTTTTATATAGTTTATTATTTTAATAATGACTGAAATATAGATGCAAACATTTTCTTAAACAAGCGACAAATGACTTATATTTATAATTAATTATANGCCCCATTATAAGCTAACGCTATAAAATAAGGTTGTAACAGTAGTCAATCAGGGTAGTCGTTTGCGAATAACTAGGATTACCGTAATAGTTGAAGACAAAATATGGACAGATTAGCATTAAAAGTACTCAGACAGCGAGACAAAACAAAGAGAATTTATTCATATTTTTCAATCTAGTAAATGTAGGCACAAAATGCAATTTTAAATATAATAACCTAATTTTACCACGTAGACAACAAGCACTATCGAATTAAAAAACAGTTGTAATGAATGTGCGCATATTCTCTAAGTAACAAAGCCGTTAATTTGTTTATATAATGTTGACACTTAGCTAACAAATATTATAATAATTATAAAAAATTTAGTATCTTTTATCAGATTTAAATCTAAGTGTTTAACTATTAACTTTGTGATAATTTGAAAAGTACGGACATTTTATTTACTTTTTCTAAGTACGGTAAGGACAAGAACAGAACCTTTAAAGTACGCACTGTCCGTACTAAATACGAACCTATAGTAACCCTATAATAACGGAACCAATAAGATGTAGCAAAAGTTGACGTCACTTTATTAAACATGACTACTAAGAAAAAGACATTTAGATTTTCTAGTGCTGAAAGACAGAATAGTTTAAGAATTGTTTAGTAAATGTTTGCGAGGATATTTCAGATCATAAAAATGAATTATGGAGGAATGTGCATTATGGATTCTGTGTTACTTCAGGATATACTAAAGTAAGAAACACAAACTACATTAAATATGGTAATTAAATTGAAAAAGGCTGTGGCATATTTGTATTTTTAAATTTATATTTTATAATTTAAGATTATCAAACGAATATGCTCGATTTAGTAATGAAATTTATGAAATATGGCTATCTGAATGCACCACAGTAGTCGAGAATGATTGAACGTAGTCAGCAATCTTGTATGTGTTTTCAAAACATAACATTATAAGCATATAATATTATATGTATTTGCGTAATAACTGGTTACAGTTATTACCCAAATGCTACTTATTATCAACGTTAAGCTATTTATAAACTTATAATATAAAACACCAATGCTCTAACTTGCTATTATCATGACAAATCCAATATTTTTGTATGCAAGCGACTTTTCATAAGAACAATTTCGCTTTATACCATTTTTACAATATTTTTTAATATATTATTTTAATAATGACTGAAATATAGATGCAAACATTTTCTTAAACAAGCGACAAATGACTTATATTTATAATAAATTATATTTATAATTTATTAATTTTATTCCTTAACTCGAAAATCGAACAACTTTCAAGAAAATGGAAATTTCGAAATCCGTATATTTCTACATTATTTCCTATTAATATATAAAAGAAATAGAAGAAATAAGCTATATTCATAAATCTTTTCTACAAAATTTTCAATCTTTATTATTATTATTATTTTTTTTTTGGCATTGAGCCGCTTATTTTGATAAAATGTTCGATATCTTTGAATAGACGACAATTTATCATAATGTTGACTTGCTTAATAGTTTTATTGATTAAATATTATCTCATTTTTTTTATTCTTTCCGCCTTGTGATCACTAAGAGGTTTTTTTACCATGCCCATTGTTCATTATCGTAGCTCGTTCAGGCGTACAATTAATGCGACAGAGTAGCGAAGGATAGACCCGATCAGAACTGATCGCCTATTAAAATGAAATTATTTAAAATATATTTTATCATTTCTAAATACTTCTAAGAAGCTCAAATTATCTATCAATCATACTTATGACATCATCTTTCGATATACTATATTACATGCTAAATCGAAATCCAGTAAGATTAAACAGAGAAATAATTTTATTAACTTTATGGTTCGATATTGTATTATAGAAAAAGTTCTATAACACAAACTGGAATTTGAATCTTCTTCTTTCAAGACAAGTGATGATTAAAGTTCCAGTTTGCGTTATAGACGATTCTTCTACATATGATAAAAACATAGGAAATAACACCTACAACGTGAAGAACATTGTATTACAATTCCAGGAACTTTTCGGGCCCGTCCCAGATATATCGGGCTCCGTCTTCACACCATTGTGAGCCTAACCAAATCCATTTAAAATGCTCTTCTTGCAACATTAATCTTCTCGGGAATATAGCTCTTTCGCCTCTTAGATACTTATGCATTAATTTAATTTATATTTTATTTAAACTTTGTAGAAGCTCTAAACTATAACTTGTAATAGGCCTTTTTCTTCCACCAAATAATAATAAGTTTAAAGGCGTGAGACCTTACCATAAGTCTGGCCTCATAGCACGAGGCACTTAGCTCTATTTTTTCCTCGACTGAATCTGCATTAGTTTAGCTTATCTGTAAACTCGACCCTGGTCAAATTAGGTTAGATTATTTCATTATTAAAAGCTTATTATTAGAAAATTAATAATAAATTTTCGAAAACATATCTATTTTTAGAAGCAAACTATAGTTTAACTGTTAGCTGATGTTCACCCCATCGTGAGTGATAGTGAAGCTGAAGGCAACAGCTAAATGAGCCTCTGCCATGTCTGAAATACACAAAATGAACAAATTCTTTTAAAACAAGTATCGGCGTAATAAAATTCGGCGTCTACGGTTGAATAAAAATTACTTTTGATATTTTTGCTTCCAATNGTTTCTTATTAAATTATTAAGAAAATTAATTTTCATAGTTTTATCTTTCGAAAATTATAATTAACTACTTAATTAATGTATTTTCTTCTAAATATAGATCAATTCATAATTTTTAGTCGTGCCTTATTATAAAATTAGCTGTATTTTTTCAAATAAATAAATAAAATAATAATTTTAGGCGATTAAACTAAGAAAAATTAAATACAAATTTTATAATACTTACTCTCTCAGCGAGTAACATGTAAACTTGTATATAAGCTTTTTTATGGTGGCAAACAGCTGTATAAGAAAACCAATGATATATAAGCAAATAAGCAAATTATCTCATTGGTTAGCTTACTTAGCTATATGCCTTCTAGATGTAAAGTACTCTATATTAGTGCTTGAATTTATTAATGAAATTAGTTTGCCTCAATGACAGCTTGTTTTTTTATTTAATTTTTTACTTCAGGGACTCTTAGAAGGTTAACATTTAAAAGAAATTAAATATTTAGAAGGAATTCTACTTAAAATTAATGCAAAAATGTAGTTTCGACAGGGCGGAATGAGTTGGAAAAAAAAATACAACATTGAAGCAATTGATTACGATTTTAGTCTGAAGGAAACCAGTATCTTCGGAGAATCTTGAATATTTCTCTCCAAACTCTCCTGTGTTTTCATGATCTAGTTTTTTCCTGCAACATTTTAATATTCATTGCTTTTTTCAAAAATCT